TTTAGTTTAGCTTTTAAAACTGTAATTAAGCATTAAGTGTGTGTGTGTGTGTGTGTGTGTGTGTGTGTGTGTATGTATATAAAATCTTTCTCCAGCCATTCCATTTTCTATGCTTTTTCCATTATCTGTAATATCCTTAGGGGCAAGAAACAGTTTAGCTGAAAAATTATATGTATCATCAAGTATAGCAACAGTTTGGATCTCAGATGTATATTTACAAAAACTTCTCAATCCTTGAACAAATACAAACAAAATTCTTAAAATCAATAGCACACATTCCTTACTCAACTTCTAATGCCATCACCAGATTAGAGCTAGGTTGCATCTCATTTGAGGCCCGGGCAATGTTACATTGGCTAAAGTTCTGGGCAAAACAGATCATTTAAGGAACCTAATTTGTACATCTTATTCCATATGATGTACATCAATCTACTCTGAAAAAGAAACAGATCAAGATCTGAAACAGTGTGGACTGTCAATACCAGCCCTACTTGCTTTAGATCTAGAAAAAACCTTGGTAGAACTTAAGCAGAGGGTATGGGACTTAGACATTCAGGTAGACCAAGTCAAACTTTCCCATCTCTCCTACGGGCAAATTGCTCTCTCCCCTTGGACACTCCCCAATTACTTCTATAAGATCCCGTATGCCCCACACAGAAGGGTTTTCCCCCTAGCCCATATAGATACCCTCCCTACTAGGGTAACAACTGGTCGATATACCAAACTTCCATATGAAGATCAAGTATGTATTTGCTCAAACACAGAAGTTGAGTCTGTTTCACACATCCTTTTAAAGTGCCCACTACACTCTTATTGGTGATCAGAGCTAATACACCAGGTCTTGAGTCTGACAGACTCCATTCATGATGAAGAGATTGAGGTATTCTTACTGAACCACCAATGCCCAGGTGTTTCGAAGGCAGTAGTAAAAATTTTATGTATAGCCTTAGCTTATAGAAATCATTTGGTGCCTTCAGTGAATTGCGGACTGTATAAGGTTTCTTCCTCTTATATATGTAAGCATTGTTACATATGTATGTATTAATGGTATGCTGTATTTTAAATTTTGTGACTCGGTTTTGGACTATCAATAAGCAAATAAATAAGCAACCATGAGGCATAAAACAATAACAAAAAATTGCTATGTACAAATATAAACTGCACATTAATACAGAGCTAGAAGTCCCACACTTTCCACTGAGCAGAGGGAGAAGACAGTATCCTGTTTTTCCTCTTGCTTGGGCAGCAAGGTAATTAATCTCAGTAGATCCCCCAAAGATGGCATCATCCCATGGTCAACTGGGCAGGGGGTTGGACTAGAAGACTTCCAAGGCCCCTTCCAACCCTATGATTCTAAGAACTCTGCTGAATTAAAATTCTCACATGCACGAACACGGATGTTCTAAGCAAAGCAGACAGCAATGCAAAATATTATTCTGATCCCTTACATGCTAGCTTCTGATTTTTTTTTCCTCACAAAATGGAGTCAATCGCTCCTCCTTCTGGTAGTGAAAGTAAACCGTACACGCAGATGTAAATAGCACAATGTAGCTGAAATTACTACCCTCTGTTTATTACTTGGGGGAAAAAAAGGTAGGATTTCACCACAGCTCCAAATGGAACACATGCCCCAAAACAAATGCCTTTATTCAATTATTTGCTAATGGAATATCATCCCAGTGATATCATTCTTCTAAAATGCTAAGAGAAAGGTCTCCCTCCCTCCCCAAATAATTTACTTCAGTGCTCAGTTCTCCCAACACAAGTGGTTAAGCTGACATACATTAAACTGCATTTAGAAAGACAAAACTTGGGATTTGATTAGGACCATGATCCAAATAAAAATGTTTGCATACCTTTTTTCTAGAAATAAAGCAGGAAAAAGAAAAAAGAAACAGACTGACTTATACTAATAAACAAAGAGTACAAATGCATAAACATATACAGAGAATAGTTCCTAATGAAATCAAAGCATAAAAGAAAAACAAATTTGGATTCAAAATGTTATGCTAAGACATTAGATATTTCATGACAGATTTCAGCTTGCATATTTAAAAATAAGACATTTACAGGATGAAGCAAATTCTAGGTTAAAACGTGCACAATTTTTAGAGTATATAAATTAATCTAGCATTATGCGAAGAAATAATATTGATGTTTCAAATTTTGAAGGATTTGCATATACATTACAACTAATAGTTCAGGGCTGGCGGGTTGTGAATGAATCTGTTTCTTTTAAAAAAGTGGGATAGCCCTGATCAGGAAGCTGAACTACCATTTTAGGTTCCACCCAATGGTGTACACAAAACAAGAAAAGCAGCATCACGGTGCAAGCTCTGTCCCTTTTAGGCGTGAATGTAACGTATTCATGTACTTAAAAAAGGGGTGGACCTTGTGTCACAACACTGTGATGCTGCTGCTGTTACTGTGACCCACTTGTCCCCCCCCCCCGCTAGAATGCTGTGGGTTCCATGCCAATTTAATTCACTGTTATTTAACTGTCTGGCTCATCGCATGCATCATTCTTACTATTGAAAAAAAGATTATTATTTCAGTAGCAGTTGTCCACTTGGACAGCCCACAACAGAAAGGAGAACTGTGGTTCTTAAGAAGTTCCTCTTACACAATTTCCCAGCATAGGTCACAAAGAAAAGGCTACAGTCTAGCATTGTAAGGATAATTCTCAATGAGACCTAGTATATGCCTATATGCCCTCCTTCTTTACTGTGATCACAGGTGTTCAGAAAAAGTAATTACTATCTTAGGTTATCAGCATGAAGTATGTATGTCATCTTGAGTTGACCAAAAATAAGGTGGGAATAAATATTGCATCTGTCTGTCTATCTGCTGATAGTTGTGTTATCTGGACTTTGACGAAACTATATTCAGTTCAAAATGTTTTTTTACAAAATTAGGTATTTCCCCCCCAAAAAATATCATTAAGATGAACCCCAATTTAGGGCAGGGCTGGCATTCTTTTCAGCAGCTGGGGGAAAAATTCTATTTAACTGCAAAGAGCACACTTGAATTTTGGCTCATTTTTCTGCTTTTTTTGTTTGTTTTTGAAGGAGATCTTTAACAATTATAGGTTCGTTAATCCCCCTGGAAATAACTACATTTTAGTAACTCCCTTTTCTTTAGTTTTGTGCTGGAAATAAGGATGAATTTCTGCATTCCTTATTCAATGGTTTGCTGATTCATTTTGGTGGCACAATCTTGAGCGCTCTTGAGCTGCAAAAAAAAGCGGGGGGGGGGGGCTGAAAGCCACATGGGGCTTGCAAATCGTCCAACCCTGATTTAGGTTTTGGTTATACACTTAACTGCAGTTATTTAGAAAATGAAGTGGAAGATTTCACAAATCAAAAATAGCCACTTACAAAAACTCTCCAGTAATAATTCCATATCAAACAATGCCTGACATTACATTCTGTTCTCTAACAGAATAGTCGGAAGCAATGCTCTATTTCTATGGTAATTAAAAAACTGTAAGACATATATGGTCGGTTATTATTGTTCTTGCTCCTTCGATAGGAAGTAATAAAAAACATATGAGATTTCAAAATGACCTTTTTTCCCTCAGCACTTCCACTCTGAATTTATGCAAACTCGTTTCTTCTAGCAGAATTCATGCTGATCTCTCTTTGTAACACTTCTTCAATGAAACACTACTTCTACCACAATGGTAATTTCCTGTCTCCTTTGCTAATGATAATAAGAAAATTATGTTGGGTTATATAAACAGGCAGATTATGTGGCTTTAGGCAACTCCTACTCTCCCTAACAGGGTTGCTGTAGGACCAGGGAGATTGGGATAAACTCATTTATGCCAATTTCCTTGAAAGAGGATAAAATGTGAAATATGTTAGATCTTTCATAAGCTGATTTTCAACAGACTGGAGATTTTTTCTGAAATGTCAGGTGGCTCAAAATACTGCACTCTTTTGTTTCCAGGCACAGAGATATCTGTTATAAGGGGAAAGAACAGAATAGGAGAATGAACAGATTGGCCAGGTTGCCCTGAGAAAGAATCTAAACTTACAAGATCATTCATATTGGCTAAAATCAACTTAAGCCTCCTTATAAGTCATCAAAAGGTGGATTTTAGAGCTTTGCCATTATCAACAGATCACTTTTATATCACCAAGGGTACACTTCTGCCTTAGAGCACTTATGTACATTAAGGTCTGTGTGCATGGATCAGAAGTCTTGTACAACTGCGTTTCTCCCAGTCTATGACAGGTAATGCAGGTTAGGTTCCCCTTTGCAGATATTTATGTTCCATGTGTGGTTCTCCGGGGTGGAAAAACCACACAATGTGATGGATGGGGCCAGCAGCAAAGCTCTCTAGCACTTTAATGGCAATAAAGCTACCTAGGCTTTTATTGCAGACACCTTTATATACCAGAAAAGTGAGTAATATTTTCCCAGTGAGGAATAGTTATCAAGTAGTCCTCACTTACTGACAGTAATTTGGACTGGTAACTCTCACTAAGCAATATGGTCGTTAAGGTGTGATGTCATGTGACCACACCAACTTACCACAGCAGTTCCGGCAGTCCCAGTTGCCACTGTTAGGCAAATCCCACACAGTTGCAGAGTCCTGTGGTCACGGGATCACCATTTGGAACCTCCTTCCCCATTGACTTTGCTTGTTGGAAGCCGGCAGTGAAGGTCACAAATGGTGATTACATGACTGCGGGATGCTGTAACATTGTAATTGTGAGCCGGTTACCAAGTGCCTGAATCATGATCACGTGACCATGGGGATGCTGTGATGGCTGTAACTACAAGGACCCAATAAGTACCCCTCGTTCAGTGCTGTCATAACTTTGAACGGTTGCTGAACAAGTGGACATTAAATGAGGACTACCTCTACTTTTGCTGATTACCACTTTTTTCAAACTCTGAAGACTATGAGGCTATGACAGCAATGTTCTGATACCACCAGAGAAAATGGGACAAAAATTAGTTTGAGAAAAAGCAAGCAAACAAACAAAATAGATGTAATAAGTCTGTGGAAGTTTCACATGCCTATTTTGTTTATAATTAGTTAAAAATAAAGACCACATTGCTGCACTTTAAAATTTCCATGCCCTGGTGAATGTGCCCAGCTTGTTGGATGTTTACCCTAGGACATTGTGTGTGACTTTGTGTGAAATAGAGGCTTTTTTCTTTTTTATGTATCTGATTCATACAGCTAGATTTGCTGGAGCTAGGTTTCTCAACAAATCAGAATTCAATATGTTAAAGCTCAAGTAAACCTTACGTTTTTATAAATGAAATAGAGGCTTCTAGAAGAAAAAGCCATTAATAGAAGAACCTGGAACACAACTGGGTAGGTGATCTATACAGTGTCAGTTGGGTTACATTTGTTTCCTCTATGCACTCTCCATGACTGCAAGAAAAGATAGTTGTACTTGCCTCAATTCTACATAAGCTGAAATAGCCAGAAAACCTACACTGCTTACAACTTTCAAATGACTTGCTTGTTATGAAGATATAAATGAAGTTCACACAGAGTTCCCAAACTTCTAGATAACTCCCATAAACTGAAATCGTTTGTCATAATGGAGTTGTTTTCTTTCATTTTAATAATCAAATTAAATTCCTAAGGGTCCAGAACAAGATCATTCTAAATAAACAATGACTTCTATTCTAGTCTGTATTAACATACCATGGCACCCATTTTGCAGTAGAACGAGCTTATACCTACGTACTGTTAACATGAATGACAACATGATATTTACAGAAAACAAATCTGGGCCCAATTCTGAAAATATATTGTCTTCGCTGTGTTTCAAACATTCTCATGCGCATCAATAGCTGTGTATGCACTGCAACATGCAGCCTGAATGGCTGGTCCTTTTGGACTCTCATTCAACTTTCTTCTACCCCCTGCCTCATCCAAATGGCTCATCACTGATTGCCTCTTCTGACAATCCTTCCCAATTCACATGCAGTACAGATATTACTCAGAGTCAGGTCTCAAACTAATGAACATCAAACCAACTGGCCTTGTAGAAGGCATGAATAAATAACCTAGATGCTTAAGAGAAAACGAGAATCTATTAAAAAGCTGAAATCATATCTAAATATGTGTATGTGATAGAGAACTTTACCATGCCCTGGCTATTGAATTTGCCAGCCGCTCCCAATGCATTGTAAACTCAGTCTGCTCAGCTTTCATTCTGTCCCCACCAACTATAAATGCAGATCCTTTCTGGAGTTTGCTATCAAGTGAGTGTGAAACAAAAGCTGGAAGGTGGGAGCACGGTGAGCAGTCAGCGTCCTCAGTAAAAAAAAGAAGGCATAGGAGAAATGCATTGGAATGTACGTTCCACCCCATTAGGAGGCATGAAAGACAGGGAAAAAAACTGGTTTCCCAAGTTTGCAGAGCAGCTGGAATTTTTTGCTCCTGGCAATACATGAAGGCTAGCTTGCAGCCCGTCCTGAATGACTGGCAGGCATTCTGCAGCAGAAGTAGAGTATTATGCTTGCTGGTAGATCTTCACTCTGTGTGTTTGCGTAAGTGCACAGGCTTTCATGCGTGGGAAGGGAAGGGAAGGGAAGGGAAGGGAAGGGAAGGGAAGGGAAGGGAAGGGAAGGGAAGGGAAGGGAAG